GTGTGGGAGAACTACCAAGAGTGAAGAAACAGGAGGACTTGGCAGGAAATCATGAGGGACGGCGCTGTGCCGAGCCAGTTCACTGGCCATCTGCAGGCCTGGGTGTTTCTCCTGAGGAGGTGACAAGGCATTCTGACCCCCTCACCTGGTGTCAAAGGCAGCAGACAAAAATTAAAACAACTAGCCTCTGCTACAAAGCCCCTGTCCCCAGCTCCTCCCTTTGGCCAACGTCTCCACAGATCTATGCTTCTCCTTTTTGACATTTTAGGATCTTCAGTTTGCAGCTGATGCATAGATATATGTGTTTAGATGATCTGGTGTGAAATTAAAACCCAACCAGAACCTAAGAGTGTGTACTCTTCCAGGTGGAAAAGAAGCAAGGCTAGAGCTAGGGTGGAGACTTTGTTTCATGTGAGGAACAGGGATAGCAGAACAAAGAGAATGGGAAACTGCCTCTCCACCTAGCTCCAACCGGACATGAGGACACAATGGTAGTAGGTGGGTGGCAGTTAGGAGGGTCCACTTGAGGAAGGTAACCATGAGACCATAGAAGCTGGAATAAAAATTTAGACCAATGGTCAGGCATGGTGGCTCATGCCTATACTCCTAGCACTTTGGGAGGCTGTGGCTGTGGCAGGAGGATCACTAATCCCAAAAGTTCCAGACCAGATTGGGGAACATAAAGAGACTCCGTGTTTACAAAAAAAATTTTTTTTAATTAGACAAGCATGGTGGTACATGCCTATAATCACAGGTACTTGGGAAATTGAGGCAGGATAGCTTGAGCCTGGGGATTCAAGGTTGCAGTGAGCTATGAACGCACTACTGCACTCCAGCCTGGGTGACAGACAGAAAAAGAAAGCAAGAAAGCAAGCAAGCAAGGAAGGAAGGGACAGAAAAAGAAAAAAGAAAAAAAGAACGTAGACCAAGACCATTGGGGCCATTTAGTGCAAGGGCCCATTATACCTAACCTTACAGCTATGTAAGGAGGCCCAAATGAAACAAGAGTGTTAATAGCTAATGTTTATTAAGCCCTTAATATAGCCACTATGCTAAGTGCTTCACATGTATTATTTCATTTAATTATCACAACCAGGCTGGGCATGGTGGCTCATGCCTGTAATCCCAGCACTTTGGGAGACTGAGGTGGGCAGATCATGAGGTCAGGAGTTTGAGACTAGCTTGGCCAACATGGTGAACCCCTTGTCTCTACTAAAGATAGAAAAAATTGGTCAGATGTGGTGGCGTGTGCCTGTAATTCCAGCTACTCAGGAGGCTGAGGCAGGAGAATCACTTGAAACAGGGAGGCGGAGGTTGCAGTGAGCCAAGATCACACCATTGCACTCCAGCCTGGGCAACNAAAAAAAAAAAAAAAAAGAAAGAAAAGAAAAAAATTATCACAACTGCCTTATGAATTAAATACTATTAGAATTCCCATTTTACAAATAAGAACATTAAAGGCCATAAAAGTGAATGGATTAGCATAAAGTCACAGGGCTAATAGTGTTGGAGCTGTCTGATTTCAGTGTGTTCTTAGTTCCTGAACTGCTCACATCTGTAATCCCAGCACTTTGGGAGGCTGAGGCAGGAGGATCACTGGAGCCCAGGAGCTCAAGACCAACCCTGGCAACATGGACAGACCACTGTCTCTACAAAAAATAAACAAAAAATTAGCCAGGTGTGGTGGTACACACCTGTAGTCCCAGCTACTTGAGAGGCCTAGGTGGGAGGATGGCTTAAGTCTGGGAGGTTGAGGCTACAGTGAGCAGTGATCATGCCACTGTACTCCAGCCTGGGCAACAGAGTGAGACTGTCTCAAAAAGAAACAAACAAAAATCCCATTAACCAAGTACCTGACCCACAGTTTCTGGTGAAGCTGTTTTCTCCCCGATCCATTTCTCAAGAGTGTGAGGATATCACTGAAACTCAACACAGGTCATATAGAAGTTGAAGATTTTGATGTTTTTTAGTTAATTGATTGAGATTAATACATTCCCTATATTCTGAGAGTTTGAAGAAACGGGAGAAACTACAAAGCCAAGTATGTATATTAGGGATGATAGCACAGTATTTAAGAGCTCAGATTTTATAGCCTGGCATGGTGGTGTGCACCTATGGTCCCAGCTACTTAGGAGGCTGACGCTGAGGCTGGCGGACAGATTAAGGCTGGGAGGTCGAGGCCGAAGTGAGCTGTGATGGCACCACTGCACTCCAGCCTGGGTGACAGGAGACCATCTTATAAAAACAAAACAAAACAAAACAAAAACTCTTGGCTGGGTGCGGTGGCTCACGCCTGTAATCCCAGCACTTTGGGAGGCTAAGGCGGGTGAATCACCTGAGGTCAGGAGTTTGAGACCAGTCTGACCAACATGGTAAAACCCCGTCTCCACTAAAAGTACAAAAATTAGCCTGGCGTGCTGGCATGTGCCTATAATCCCAGCTACTCTGGAGGCTGAGGCAGGAGAATCGCTTGAACCTGTGAGGTGGAGGTTGCAGTGAGCTGAGATCGCATCACTGCACTCCAGCCTGGGAAACAAGAGTGAAACTCTATCTCAAAAAAAAAACCAAAAACCAAAAAACAAACCTGAACTTTGATGCCTACGTCCCAGCTTTGCCAAAATCTTGCTGAGTGCCTGATGAAATCAATTCTTGAAGCCTCTGTTTCCCCCTACATAAAATAAGACCAATGCCACCTGACCTGGCGTGGTTACTGTGAGCAGTAAGTTAAATGATGCATGTCAGCCCAGAGCACAGTCCTGACACACAGTGACAATCATCTTCGGCACCCTCACTGTCACTGTGCCCTGCAGCTATGGCCAGGGACAGCTGCCCTCTGTACCTGGCTGTGATGGGATAGAAAGTGACCTTCCTAGTGAGGATGAGTCCCAAGCATACAGTATGGCCTCTCCTGTCCCTCTGTGACTTTGCGGGCCTAGGGATAAGTGGTGCTCCAGAAAAAAGGGGGGTAGGATGAAGGTCTCCACAAGGTCAAGACATGGAGTTGGAATCCATCATTTGACATTTCAAGAGTCCAACAGAATTTTTGAGGAAGGGCAAGAGGGGGAGCTGTGTCAGAATGCACAGTGGAAAGGCGCTTGGGGACTACATTAGGGACACAGCAAGAATCCAACCAGCCCTAGTCTCGCAAGTCCAGGAAGTGGAAGGGATTATCTTCCTTCCTAACTGGCTTATCATCTCATGCAAAGAAACTTCACATTATACCACTAGGAGGCCTTCATGAGAACAGAGTCCTGCAGTGGGATGGGGAACAAGAAGATGCCAAAGAAACCCAAGACATCCTCTTTCTGGAAAAGATTCACTAGGATGCAGTTTATCAGCACATGTGTTACCATCAGGATTTCCTTGCTTATCTAAAGGCCATTTATCAGGTGTCCTAGTCTCCTGGAAGCTAACCAAAAACCAGAACAAGGGACCAAAGGCCTTGTGATACCCCTTCTGGAGCAGTCAGAGGATTACAAAGCCCATGCACTAAAGGTGAGGTACTTTGGTTGCAAGAGAGTCCCTAAAACCCTCTCTCAGTGACTACCTTGTTTTCCTTTAGACTCAGTTTTAAATAATGTGGCTGATTTATCAGTCCATTGCACCTCGAAAGTCATAAACTTGAAGTGGCCAAGGGCTAGAGGCTGGTGCACTGAGGAGCGATGGTTGCAGCCAGACCACAAGCAAGACAACACCAACTCTGAACAGCAATACAGCACAAGGGGCAACTCCATGTAGGTTAAACAGCTATACGCATCTTCCTAGATATGAGGGTGCCACTTCACTGACATGAGACCTGACCACAATATTTTGACTCTCTTGGGATGGCATGGGATGTTAGGAATGGCCACATGACATGCTTTGGATTATGACACGTGAACAGAAATAATGAGAGTCACTCCCAGGCAGAAACTCTCAGAGCTAGCAGGTGATTCATCAGGCTTTCTTCCTGCTCCACTATGGTGAACAGCAACACTTCCAGATAATGGCAGCTCTACCAGTCTGGATCCTAGAATGAGGATAAAAATCATGCAGAGCAGAGCCTGCAGCCAACCAAAGAGGACAAGTGGCATGGGCAAGAAACAAATTTTGTTGCTTTTGGGGTTGCCCGTTACCACCATTCAACTGAGTCTATCCTGACTGGAACATCCTAAAAGGTTGAATGAAGTCAGCTCACTTTGTTTAAGAAGTGTGTGTTATCTTTTTGGTAGATTACCATTCAAAATAATCAATATTATATTTTGCTGCCTCTAGGATAATTTTCAATTATATGGAAAATTCACCTACTTTAGTGTTTGCTGGATAAATGAGGGATTACCAGAACATGAATCGAATGAAGGAAAGGATCTAGTTTCTGAACCACTCCCTTCACTAGGGAGGCTCCAGGTCTCTTGTTCATGATTTTGTAAAACATGCCTGCATTACTTATGGAGCTAAGGTAGAAGCTGGGTCTCACGTGCTACTACTGCCAGAACTGGCCTCTCAGCATTTGTGGAACCAGCATAAGGGTGGCGTATCCTTGGGATTGGTCTACGGCTGGTTCTGCAAGTGCTGAGGGGCTCTGGTGCCCATGTGGTAGTTGAAAGGCCCCATTATATATCTGTCTGTGCTCTCATAGAAGGAAATCTATGGGCCGGGTGTGGTGGCTCACGCCTGTAATTCCAGCACTTTGGGAGGCCGAGGTGGGTGGATCACCTAAGGTCAGGAGTTCACCACCAGCCTGACCAATATGGTGAAACCCCGTCTCTACTAAAAAAATACAAAAATTAGCCGGGCACGGTGGTATGCACCTGTAGTCCCAGCTACTCAGGAGGCTGAGACAGGAGAATTGCTTGAAACTGGGAGGTAGAGGTTGCAGTAAGCCAAGATCATGCCACTGCACTCCAGCCTGGGCGACAGCGTGAGACTGCATCTCAAAAAAAAAAAAAAAAAAAAAAAAAAAAAAAAAGAGAAGGAAATCTATGATGTGTTCTTGAGTAAAAGAGCAAGCCAACAACTTCTTGGGAATATATAGTCTTTTTAAGCATACATGGCACATTTACAACACTGATCTCACACTAGGCCAACAACCAAGTTTCAACACATTTTGAAGGATGGAAACCATATGGGTCATTTTCTCTGACCACAAAGTAATTAAGCTAGAAAAGAAAAATGGTAACTAGAAAAATCTCATGTTTGGAAGGTAGGAAATACACTTTTAAGTAACCCATGGGTCACACATCCTCTCACTTAATCCTTCTAACTATTCATAATGCAGACCCTCATTTTAGAAAAGCAAGAGCTGAGATACCATTTGCTCAAATTTACCCAGTTAGTGGTGGGGCCAGGACTCAAGACCAGGCTCCATAACTCTAGAGCCCAGGGCTTTAATGATATCCTTCTTACGATATGTCTCATGGGAATTCCCAGATCCTCCCCCACAGCCTCAAAGACCTGCTGTTTCACCTCTTAGAAAGGCCAGCTGTTGAGAGGTGGAGACGTAGGCCCAGCTTGCTCTTGTGGCCCTGACCATGGGCCATTGTGTAGAGATGCATTTCCTTTTTGCTCTTGCCTACTTGGACTGAGGCAAGAAGTCTTGAGTAGTGGAGAGGGGGGTTTCAGTTTGATGCCCCCAAACAGCTTTGAACTGGATCCCTAAGACAACTTCCTTCCTTTTAAAGTTTTTTTCCCACATGGGTCCAAGTGGTAAGTGAACACAGAAGAAAGACAGAAGGAAGCCAATTCCAGATGGCTCTCCATCTTGCTCTAATGCAGATTAAACAGAAAATTCCAACATAACATTAGGCAAACATGAGTATTAATATCATTCACATTATAAATGGAACAGAATGGAAATTCAGTCTGTATCTGACTTAAATTTGGGGCAAGGGCCTCAGAGCCAGAAAACAGACAATAAAAGCACCCTGATTCTGAGCAAGTTGGAGGTCCGTAATATTTGAGGTAAGAAACACAGCTAAGGCATTCCTAGGCCTCTCTGGGAGTGGCCTTCTGAGTTTTTAAATTTTATCTCTCTCTCTCTCTTTCTTTTTAAGATGGAGTCTTGCTCTGTCACCCAGGCTGGAGTGCAGTGGCATGATCTTGACTCACTGCAACCTCTACCTCCTGGGTTCAAGCAATTCTCCTGCTTCAGCCTCCTGAGTAGCTAGGACTACAGGCATGTGCCACCACGCCTGGCTAAATTTTTGTATATTTAGTAGAGATGGGGTTTTGCCATGTTGGCCAGGCTGGCCTTGACCTCCTGGCCTTAAGTGATCCATCTGCCTTAGCCTCCCAAAGTACTGGGATTACAGGTGTGAGCCACCATGCCCGGCCTTCAGTTTATTTTTAAGATGGGGTCTTGCTCCACTGCCCAGGCTGTAGCTGAGTTTTAACTGACCAAACTACTTCCCTGTTGTGGCAAGGGCCTGTGAAAATGGCCATTTAACACTGTTGTTCTGTCATCTTCCCTTCTCAACCTGCTTGTGTTGCTTCCTATTAAGGTACATTTTTAGCAAAATGCCCAAAGACATCCAGAGCTTCTGAGGTACCTCTTTGTACCTCAGTTTCTGTCCCTGTGCTGTGAGAGCCATGCTGCCTGTCCCTCTGTGGGCTCACAAATACTACTGTAAGTATAAGTAGTACTATGTTTCATGCAATGAGAAGACTTGGAAATAAATAGAAAGTGTGATCACAGCCCATACCCTAGAAATTTACCTAAAGTGCTCAGACTTCACCAAGTGGCCCTGGGGAAGGAGAAGGCTAACAGGTAGGAAGAGATAGTGTTGGGTTGGGCTAGAGTTCCTGGCGGTAAGAATTTTCACTCCATCCTTTGGCTTCATCTCTTCCACTGAAGCAGCACCGGCCATGGGTGAGGGAATGCGCTCGCTGGGCTAAGTCTTTACATCCAGACCTCACAGTGCCCAGCTCAGGGCTTGGGTTTCCCCCAGTCCCACTCTACTGCTTATTCCCCACTCCATCAGGACTAAGGCCCCAGAAAGTCTGTTGGTCAATCAGTAAGTGATCTCAGTCCCAAAGTGATTTTAAGATCAAGTCTAAGATCAAAGTACCCAGTTATCCAAATAGCAGTGTGATTACACCTTTCAAGCTGTGAAAAGGGTCATGTTGACCACCTCCTGATAGGAGCTCATGGGTGCCCCTGGGTAGCTCCCAAATGGAAACTTGGTTCAAGTGACCTTTACAAATGGCCAGTTGTGCCTACAGGCTGGACAGATGGTGGGGGGCCCCAGGGGTGAGCGACGGTCCAATGCCTTCAATAAGGTTGTTCCATTGATCATAGTCTTCTTTCAGGTCTGAATGGGAAAAAAACAAGGTTAGGCAAATCATTGTGAGGTATAGTCAAAGAGAAGCTGTCAAAGATTGAGGGGGTCATCCTAGAGACAGGAGCGCCTGGGATACCAAAAGGACTGGTTATGGTGGGGTTGTATGGTGGTGGCGGTAATGATAATTATGATTTATTCAGTGCTTTTATAAATAACTTATGTAATCCATAACAATTCAATAACAATAGTAATAACAGAGGGTAACATTTATTGATGGATTCATTCTAGGGGTTGTACTAAATGCTTTACATTCATGGTTTCATTTAATTTTCACCATATCCCTATGAGCTAAGAATTACTACTAGTCTTATTATATTTTTCAGGACATGAGGCTCAGGGAAGCTACCTGATTTGCCTAAGGTCATTACAGCTGTTAAATGGTAGAGACAGAATTCAAACCCAGGTCAGAAAGTCAGAGAAGGCTGGGCATGGTGGCTTATGCCTGTAACCCTTGTGCTTTGGGAGGCTGAGGCAGGAGGATCACTTGAGGCTAGGAGTTCCTAGACCAGCCTGGGCCACATAGCGAGACCTCAACTCTATAAAAAAATAAAGAAATTAGCTCGGTATGGTTGTGTGCGCCTGAGGTTCTAGTTACTCAGGAAGCCAAGATGGGAGGATTGCTTGACGCAAGGAGTTGGAGGCAGCAGTGAGGTGTAATAATGCCACTGCACTCCATCCTGGGCAACAGTGAGACCCTTTTTCAAAAAAAAAAGAAAGGCAGAGAAAATCAAAAGTCTAGTTCCAGGATCAAGGAGGCTACTAGGCAAAAAGTAGTCCCTGACAGCCCAGTCTGTGGGTGCAAATCCAGGGCCACTTCAGTGAAGGGTAAGAGCAACAGGACAGCAATATCATGGAGCAGCAGAACCCTGGGAATGACTCGAGAGGGGGCTCCGAGCTCACAGCTGGTAGGATTAACTACATGACAAGAACAGGCACAAAGAGTGAAAGCCCTCGGGCTGAGGAAACAGGGGAGACTGAGCAGGTGTCCTTCCTCAAAACAAACAGACTCTGGGGCAGAAGGCAGGGACCACTCTCATGCAGCTTTAGATCCCCAGTGCCCTGCCAGGAACCTGGCACAGAATAGGCCCTTGACATATAAGTGCTACATAGTCATTAATTCAAAAAACAATGAGCACATCCACTATGTGCCACACTCTGTTCTTGGAGCCAAAAATATAGCCACAAACAAAACAGATGGCAACTGCTCTTCTCACAGAGCTCATCATCTAGTGGGCAGAGACAAATAATACACATAGTAAATTACACAGGATGTAAAAAGGGAAGAGGTGCCCGCCGAGGAAAGCACTGATGGTGGCTGGATGTTGAGTTCGTGAAGGGAGGAAGAAAGGGCCCAATGTTTTAAAAAGGGTGGTCAGGGTGGGCCTCACTGAGAAGGTGAGATTTGAGGCAAGGCTTGAAGGTAGTAGGAGTATACCATGAGACTACCTGGGAGGAATGTTCCAGGGAGAGGGAGCAGCAGTGCAAAGTCCCTGAAGCAGCAGCATTCCTGGAGCGTTTGAGACTCATGTGGTGAGAGTGAAGTGAATCAAGGGAAGAACAGCAGAGGAGGATGCCAGGAGGGACTGGAGGCCACGTTCCATAGACCTGGCAGGATAATGGAGTCTGGATTTGACTCTTGGAGAGACTAGGAGCCACTGGAGAATTCGGAGCAGAAGAGTGAGAAGGTCTCACTAAATTCCTTAAGGGCTCACTGTGTCTGCTCTATGAAGGAAAGACGCTTCAGTGCTTGCTTTGGCAGCACACACACTAAAACTGGAACAATACAGGGATGAGCACGGCCCTTGCACAAGGATGACATGCAAATTCCTTAAGCATTCCATATTTTTAAAGAGAAATAAATAAATACCATGATTTAAGGAAGCCAAAATAATAATTAAATAAAGAAATAAGGCTGGGCACAGTGGCTAACACTTGTAATCCCAGCACTTTGGGAGGCCGAGGTGGGTGGATCATGAGGTCAGGAGTTCGAGACCAGCCTGACCAACATGTAGAAACCCTGTCGCTACTAAAAATACAAAATTAGCTGGGCGTGGTGGCACGTGCCTGTAATCTCAGCTACTCAGGAGGCTGAGGCAGGAGAATTGCTTGAACTCGGGAGGCAGAGGTTGCAGTAAGCTGAGATTGCGCCACCGCACTCCAGCCTGGATGACAGTGTGAGATTCCATCTCAAAATAATAATAATAATAAATATATACATACATACATTAAAAAAAATGACTCAAGTAAAGTTTCAGGACACAAAATTGGTATACAAAAATCAGTGGTGGTGATTTTTCTGGGTGCACTGGCTCATACCTGTAACCCCAGCACTTTGGGAGGCTAAGGCAGGAGGATCGCCTGAGCCCAGGAGTTTGAGACCAGCCCAGGCAATAAAGTGAGACAAAGAAACAAACAAAAATATCAGTGGCATTTCTATACACCAATAACAAGTTGAGAACCCAATCGTAAACTCAATCCCATTTATAATATGGCTACCAAAAAAATCTCAAAACAAAACCTAGGAATACATTTAACCAAGGAGGTAAAAGATCTCTACAAAGAGAGCTACAAAATACTGATGAAAGAAATTGTAGATGACACAAACAAATGGAAAAAACATCCCACACTCATGGAATGGAAGAATCAATGTTTTAAAAATGACCATAATGCTCAAAGCAATTTACAGATTCAATGGAATTCCTATCAAACTACCAACGTCATTTTTTACAGAATTAGAAAAAAAGTCCTCAAATTCATATGGAACCAAAAAAGAGCCTGAATAGTCAAAGCAATCCTAAGCAAAAAGAACAAAGCAGGAGGCATCACATTACCCAACTTCAAATTATATTACAAGGTTATAATAACCAAAACAGCATGGTACTGGTATAAACACAGAAAAATAGATCAATGAAACAGAATAGAGAACCCAGAAATAAAGTCCACATACCTACAACCAACTGATCTTTGTCAAAATCAACAAAAATATATATATGGAGAAAAGATGTCCTGTTCAATAAATGGTGTTGGAAAAATTGGACAGCCATATGAAGAAGAATGAAACAGGACCCATATCTCTCAGCATATGTAAAAATTAACTCAAGATGGATTAAAGATTAAGCATAAGACTTGAAACTAGGGCCAAGCATGGTGGCTTACGCCTGTAATCCAAGCACTTTGGAGGCCAAGGCGGGTGGATCACCTGAGGTCGGGAGTTCAAGACCAGCCTGACCAACATGGTGAAATCCTGTCTTAAAAAAAAAAAAAAAAAAAAAAAAAAAAAAAAAAAAAAAAAAAAAAAAAAAAAAGACTTGAAACTATAAAAATCCTAGAAGAAAACCTAAGAAAAACTCTTCTGGACATTAGCTTAGGCAAAGAATTTGTCCTTAAAAACAAATGCAATAACAACAAAAAATAGACAAATGAGACTCAAACTAAAAAGCTTCTGCACCACAAAAGAAACAATCAACAGAGTAAATAGACAACCTACAGAATGGAAGAAAATATTTCCAAACCACATATCCAACAAAGGGCTAATATCCAGAATCTATAAGGAAAGGCTGGGCACAGTGGCTCATGCCTGTAATCCCAGCAATTTGTGAGGCCGAGGGTGGTGAATCACTTGAGGTCAGGAGTTTGAGACCAGTCTGGCTAACATGTGAAACTCTGTCTCTACTAAAAACACAAAAAATTAGCCAGATGTGGTGGCACATGCCTGTAATTCCAGCTACTCAGGAAGCTGAGGTAGGAGAATTGCTTGAACCTGGGGGATGGAGGTCACAGTGAGTTGAGATCACACCACTTCATTCCAGCCTGGGCAACAGAGCAAGACTCCATCTCAACAACAACAACAAAATAATAATCTACAAGGAACTCAAACAACTCAAGAAGGAAAAAATACACAATTCCATTAAAAAGTAGGCATTCTGCAAAAACAGGACTCAAAAAAAGAAAAAAGTGGGCAAAGGACATGAACAGATATTTTTTCGAAAGAAGACATACAAGTGTCCCACGAACATATATATAAAAAAGCTCAACTTCACTAATCATCAGAGAAATGCAAATTAAAATCACAATGAGATAGTATCTTATACTAGTCAGAATGGCCATTATTAAAAAGTCCAGAAACAATAAATGTCGTTGAGGGTGCAGAGAAAAGGGAACACTTATGCATTGTTGGTAGAAATGTAAATTAGCACAACCTCCATGGAAAATGGTATGGAGATCCCTCAAAGAACTAAAAATAGAACTACCATTTGATCCAGCAATCCCACTACTGGGTATCTACCCAGAGGGAAACAAATCATTACACCAAAAAGACACCTACACTTGTGTGTTTATCACAGCACTAGTCACACAGCAAAGATAGGAATCAACCTAAGTGCCCATCAACAGAAGATCTGATAGAGAAAATCTGGTGTGAAGACATATCATGGGATACTACTCAGTTATAAACAAAGAAGGAAATCAAGTTTTACAGAATCGCAGGCCATTATCCTAGGTGAAATAAGTCAGAAACAGAAAGTCAGATACTGAATGTTGTCACTTATAAGTGGGAGCTAAACGATGGGTACACGAGGACATACAGGGTAGAAAAACAAGACACTAGAGACTCCAAAAGGTGGGAGGGTACAAGCGGGGTGAGGGCTGAAAAATTACCTACTGAGTACAATGTTCACTATTCCGGTGATGGGTACACTAAAAGCCCTGATTTCACCACGTGCAATATATCCATGCAAGAAAATTGCACTTCTACCCTCTAAATCTATACAAAGAGAAAAAAGAACAATAAGACTGTGAGGTGGAGGGACTGGCAAGGGTGACAGTGAGGAGACCCGTTAGGAAACCACTGCACTAATTTGGATGAGAGATGATTTGGACAGGATGGTGCTGTGGGGTGGTGACAAGTGATTTGATACCATGCGTAGTTTGAAGGTAGAGCCAATAGGATTGTGTGAGGGACTGGATGGGAG